GTTTTGTAGCTCACAGGCTGTGTGGACAACTTATTTATCTATTAAAATGAGGAGTTTCAGCTCTAACCTGCTATATATTAGAAAGACATAACAAATACCCACAGTCATTCATATGATATCCAGTCACAGGATATCTCCCATTTGCCCTTGGGAAAGAAGATTGTAGAGAAAAGCCCACCGCACTGATGTGCTTGTTGACTGGAGTATCAGACAAGGCTGGTTAAGAGAAGGTTGGCTGGGAAGTGTGAGAAAGTCATCCACCTTGCAGCTGTCCCTGCCTGAATAGGACCATGGCTAAATGAGTCTCTCTCTCTAGAGATCTCTGCTGGCACCTTGTCTTCATTCCTTTCTGAACAACAATCACAAAAAAATCCTCATGAAGAATGTATTGCCTTCTATATGCAACTGCCAAAAACCCAAGTGTAGGCAAAAATCCACCCGACGGGATCTCCTAACTGCTTTGATTCAGTTCTTAAAGGAGATGAGTTGTTGAAGGTCACAGAGAAGCCATCCTACTGCACGTTGCAGCTTGGGGTTTCAAAGCCTTCACTGCTAAGGGAATCTCTGTGCTTGATGCCCCTTCTCTCTATGCCGTTTAATCAATGAATCAACAAATAGTTACTGAGCAAGGCTTCCCTGGGGTCTGCAGGTCACTTCAGATGTGGCTCTCCTGTTCAATAGCAGGGGAAAGAAAAACGAATTTTTCTGACTCCGCTTCAAGTTTCCATTTATAAAACCAGGGCTGGCATCAAAAGACTATGGGTCTCCTGTCCCTCTTTTTTTTTCCGTTTCCTGAACGCTCTGATTCACAAATAAAAAGGAAATGCTATGAAACTGGGACAATATATAAAAGCTGGAAGGGAGGAAGGAAAGAAGGAAGAAAAGGAAGGAGAAAACAAGGAAGAAAGGAGGAAGAGAGAAAGAGAAGCAAAGAAAAGAGGAAGGGAAGAAAGAAGGGAGGGAAGAGAGGAAGGGAGGGACAACAGGAGAGAAGAATGAAAGAATGAGACCCTTAGATTTCAAGAAGGCCAAAAGACACAGTGAACATGAAGACAATACTCCCAAGAGGTGTATCTTTGGTAGCATATACACTCAATGCTTACTAGCTGGCTAATTATTACTGTTCTTTAGTATATATGATTATGTTTGTGAACCCCTACTTTTAAACTTTTAAGATTGGTGTAATTACGAATGCCTTTAAATGTCCCTCTGCCTTAACTCTACCAATAGAATCATATCTTAAAGGTGCATTTAGCCTCAATACCCACAGTATCAGAAATTCCAAATACAAAAAAAAAAAAACCTCAACTAGTTTTTCTCAGTAAGTTGCACGAAAATTAAAAAAATTAAAAATATAAGTATTACTTTTGGTTTTGAGTAATAATATTACATAGGCTAGGCGCAGTGTGGCTCATGTCTGCAATCTGAGCACTTCAGGAGGCCAAGGTGGGAGGATAGCTTGAGCCTAGGAACACAAGAACAGCCTGGGCAACAAAGCAAAACGTTTAAAAAAATTGGGCCCAGGAGTTCAAGGCTGGAGTAAGCTATGTTTGTGCCACTGCACTCCAGCCTGAGCAACAGCAGGACCCTATCTCAAAAAAATACTTTTTAAAAATAAAATATTCTACTATGCTACAAAATGAATCACCATCTCCCAAGTTACTTCCAAGATGGAAGTTACTGTGGTGCAAAATCGTCACTATGACAGGACCACACAATGAGGTGAACATTGTCCTTCTCTGTGAAACACAGAGAGCAGGATTCTACTTCACTACACTTTTCCTCAATCAAGAATACAGTCATCCCTCAGTATCCTCGGGGATTGGTTCCAGGACTCCTGCATATACCAAAGCCCAAACATAACCAAGTCCTACAATCGGCCCTGCTGAACCCACATATACGAAAAGTCAGCCCTCTGTATATGGGTTTCATATCCCGCAAATACTGTAGTTTTGATTGGTGTTAGATTGCCAAAAAAAAAAAAACTCCACCCACAAGTGGACTTGCACAGTTCAAACCCATGTTGTTCAAGGGTCAAGGTAATAAGGAAAACAGCAACAGTTTGCTGGACACTTACTCTGCCAGACATGCTGCTGAATGCTTTCCATACGTTATCTCGTGTAACTCTTTCAACCAACATTGGTGTACACTATTACCCTTATTACCCTTACTCTACAGATGAGAATGCGGAAGGTCAGATAGGTGAAGTCACTTTGCCTAAAATCTTAAACATTGTTAGGTCCAGAGCAAAACACCAACCCGTGTCTGACTCTAAATATTTTGTTTCATAATCACCTTGTACCTAACACTTTTAGTGCTTTATTTCAGCTTGGAGAATCAAGGTGAGGAAAAGTAAAAACAGTATATTTTTAATATATTTTACCCCAAAATTCACTTACACTTGGTGTTTCCATATTTGCTTCAATTTGTTCCTTCACCCCCACCCCCGACAAGATTAATTACTAGAGTTTATTCTTTTATATCTTTTTGATAAACATAGCTGGTATTTGAATAGAAAACACACCATGAGACCACAGCATTAATCATGATAGTCTGGAGAATTTTTCAGTCTAAGCATGCAATAAGGCTCTCAAACATCTTAAAAAGATTGATTTTAAAAAAAAAAACTTAAATATAAGTACTAATGTTAACACTTAGCACTTATAGTTCTAAACAAAGAGTTTGCCAGATAAAACCTGGAGTATATGTAGAGGGGGCTGATGCTTTTACATTTTATTGAGCTTCTAAATTATAACCCTCATGCTTTTCTTATGTGGTGATTGGTTCTATCACAGCAGAGGTATTAACAGAAAAATGCACACCTGAAATTCTGTCATTCAGTATGACACCTGTATATGTACAATGATGTATCTATTCAGAAGAATCTATATGTTAAAAAGGAGTTAAAAGAGACATTATCTTTTGATCCAGGATGACACAATTATTTATACCATCTGTGTGTGGAAGGAGGTATGGCTCAGGAAACCCGTTCAGGTCTGTCTCACCTTGAGGCTCAGCACACCTAGACAGAGTCCTTTGCTTAAAGTGCCTGTGCTTTGCTTGAGACTGTGACCCTGAGCATCTTCATTCCTGCATGCTACGCACTAGCCAGATCCACCCTCCAAATCTGGATAAAGACACGGCTGTGCTTCCAAGTGTCCCCTTCCCCCTCCAGCTTTGGCTACTAGACTTCCTTCATTTATTTTTTGAAATAAGCATAGCAGGTAACAGCACACCAAACCAACCACGAAGTTAGCACTTAACACAGGTATAATTTGCTCATTTTTCTCGGTTGAACGCAAATTTAAGCAGACAATCATTTTCACATACCAAAACCACCTCTACCAGAGAAATGCAAATATTATTGCAATATCTGGTTCTTGTAGAACTCAAAAATTATCTGGGTGGATGGAGGAAAACCCTGAAGTTAGGACACAGCACTTCTCACAGTATCTGCATATGCTTATTACCATATTGCAGAAGTTGTTTCTAAAGCAAATAACAGTTTTCAGAAAGACCAAGTTTATGAATTAATCCAGAGACTCAGGACGAGAGAGAAAAGACAGTTGTACCATTTAAAAGCTGAGGAACGAAATGACCTATTCCTCTTATGTCAAGACTTGAGAACTTCTAGTACGCAATTAGCATGACCTTCCATAAAGGAAGTCCTGAAATACGGACTTCCTTTTTGTTTCTAAAATAAAGGTACTTACCAGGGAAAATCCACAAGTCACCACACTTTGCCCAAAATCACACTGGCCGCCCTTCTCCATGGAAGCACAGAGTGGGACCTGCCAAGTTTGTGAGATAGCCACTTGGGTTGGTTGGAAATAGGTAAGGGGGGAAGAAGGGGGAGAAAAGAAAGACTTTCCCTTTAAAACTGAACAGAAGCTGATACCAAATCACATGACCTTTTACCGTAATTTCTATTAAAATCATTTCATGTCTGGTTGCCTCTGCTCTCCTGGCTCATTTGTATTGTTTACAACAAGTCATTGCACTGGCAGTTAGTGGTGGCTGAATCCATGGTTACCCGTTTTTACATTCACTAGTTAAATGGAATGCAGCTCTGCTGTGGTTTCAGGGAGCAAGCTCTTAACAAACCACAATCCAGCTATCAATCAGACTAATCTGAGAGAAATTAATCTTATAAACATAAGTATTGTTGCATATTAAAAATTGATAGGAAGGGGGCACGGGCTTTTATTGGTTGGAGTTAATTGGAGTTACAAAAGTGGAGAAGCTGAGATTTGACTTAGAGCCTCAGAATGTTCAGTCTGTGGTCTCCATCTGACAGCCATTCACAATGTGCATCTAAAAAGCTTTCAAGGGTAATACGACCACCCTTGAAAACAAATCCACCACTTTCCAAAAATTCTGTGAGCATTTATCTGAGCTGAATGTTCTTAGAATCTAAGTCGTGGCTAAATAGAGGTTTAACCAGACTGCAATCCTAGCAAAGTAACTTAAACAGATACATACAAGACAGTAAAACACCAAACAGACAGCACTGGGTAGGATTCAATTAAGACAAAACCTGAGTGGAATGCTCTTTACAAGTAAATTAAAACTGCAAACTAACATGTTTTATTGAGAGCAAGAACAGTACAAATTCATTCTATTGTCCATGAATTTATGTGGTTAATTCTTTAAAAACACTCCCCAAAGCTAACTTGTTTCTCAAGATGGGCATGACCAACAATTACAATTCCTAATAAAAATTTAGAAGTTTTATAGTTTAATGCCCACAGTAATTGTCCCACAAGTCACATCTAAATGCTAAATGAGAACAGCAAATAGTTAAAGCTAACATATTACAACCCCATCTACTGCAAAGTCACTGTATCAGAAGCTAGAATTGATTTGTTTCCTCAGAACGAATTGAAAATGAATGTAACAGAACGTCGGAAAAATCCCTCCTGCACTGCTAATCGGATATTGTATAATGGTTGATTGCAGCTTTGCCCTGTACTATTGCTGCCTAAATCATACATACTTACACGTTCTGGGTTCTTCCAAGAGTTTGGTGCAGTTTCAAGGACAAATGTCTTAAGGAAGCCTCTCTACTGTGCAGCAGGGAGCCTAGCTCGGATCTGATGACAAGAGCACAGTGCTAAATCTGACAACAGAGAAGGAAACTTCCTGTGTGAAGAGGAGATCTTGGAAAGTCTCAGGGTTAAAAAGGCTGCTTTAAATGTGCTGGTTGATTTGCTCCCTGGTTGTGTATACACAGTAGCAGCTGATCTGTGTTCGCAGCCCTGCAGAAAGGAACCTTTACTGAAAACCAATGGCATCACATTTCAGCGGAGCTGGTGCCAAGTGCTGGAGAGCAGAGCAACCTTTGACAACTTCACACAATTCACCCCAGCAGACTCACCACAGGTCAGAAAAGAATGTGGAAAGTATCTCCCCACCAGGTTTCATCTCAGGTATGTTAGCGCAGTCCCCGGGAAACCACACACTGTAGCTGGCTGGATTCTGACAACAGTGTAAGGTATTCTCGGGACTTCTACGTAGTTCCTGTCTCTGCTGTCCTGACCTACCGTGTACTATATTTTAACAGAAGCTTTAACATGAATCAGGATTTTTAAAAATGTATTTCCCTCTGCTTCTTACAGAAACCTTTGTATTTAAGGCTCCTCTGTTGTTCCTCAGAAATAAACTGAGGGCAAAATCATGTAACATTGGGTAGTCTGGTATCAACTTCTGCATTCTGTCTCCTGATGCAGAGGCTAGAATTTTAACATTACCGTGTTGCCAGGGGCCATTTTAGTATTGTTCATTAGAAACTGAGGAAGGCTGCAAAACTTCACACCAACAGAACCAACTATTGCAGTGAGGCTATAGCGATGTTAGGAACAGACAAGCAATGAAGAACATGACATATTCCACTGTTCAGTATCATCCTTAACATGGAAGGGAGTGAAAATTCTAGACCTTGCCAACTCTAGTAGTGAAAGTTAAGACACAGTAAGAGACGAGAGAGAGAGAGACAGACAGACAGACAGACAGAAGGTAGTGGCGGCTGCTAGTGGCAGTAACGAACTTAATCCAAGTCATTGGTTAACCACTTCATTAACTGTGAGTTTCTCACTGCCCTTTCTTTCTATTCTGTCCCAATGACAAGTCCAGGTTATGGTATATTATATGGTATTTTTCACTACTGTGCTTTTTACTTCAAAGGGTAGAAATCAGAACTGACAGTTTAACAAAAGGCCGTGTTAAATGTGTCAGGCAGCTCAGGAGAATGTTCCCCTACTCATCTGAAAGCCAGCCCAGGAGCTGCCTGGGCATCTGGTGAATTATCCAAGGTCTTTGCTTTTCATTTTGGCCACACTATTGTTCAGGAATAATGACAATTCCCTTACATCTGAGAGTCCGCATCATGTAATGAAAAGAGTCTGGGCTCTTGTGCCAAGTAGATTTAACTTCCTATCTCTACCGCATTCTACCTACATGAGGTTGGAGGTTGCTTAAAAATCTCTGAACTTCTGTTTCCTCATCTGTGAAATGGTGACAATATATCTACTATACAAATTTTTTTGTGAAGTTTTAAAGAATAACATATCAAGGGCTTACCACGGTGCCTGGCATGCACTCATTTACAAACATTTACTGAGCCTCCTCTCAGAGCCAGGCACAGTGCCAGAAGCTGGGGGCACAAAGTCAATTAAGACACAGTCTCTACCCTCAAGTGCAGTTCCACAAGTGTTACGTATTTCCTCTTTCCCTCCCAGAATTTGTGCAGTCCCCGTCATAAGGCATTAACACACTTTAAATGCTCTGTCTCATTTGATCCTTCCAACAGTCCTAGGAGACAGATGAAGCTACACCCACTTTACAAATGGGAACATTTTGGCTTGAAGAGGTGAGGGTCACACAGCTAGTAAACTGCATCCTAAACATCAATCCAAGCTCTCTTATTCTGTCAAATCCTCTTGAAGGTATATACATGAATTGACCACATAGGATTCGTATTTTGCATTATACTTGTTATTTTCGTAGCGTCACGCAGATATATAACGCACTTCCCTGCAGGTAGCAAAAGTCCCTTAAAGAGAAGCAATGTATCTTAAAATTACTTTGTATTCTCAAACAGACCTAGTATGATGCTAAAGATATTATCTGTTGAATAAATTTTTCTAAATTGAAAAGAAACGTAAGTTGGGTCAATTTTACTACCCAAAATCACCCTCACAGAAATCTGGAACCCTTCAATAAAGGATGGGTTGGAGGTTATACGTGGCCTTCAAGTGCTCATGCTGTCTATGTCATTACTTCCAAATAATTATATGCATGTCAAAGTTCTTAACACTGACTCATAATTAAACTCTCTGAAGATTGTTTTCTTTGTTTGTTTAGCACGTATCCTGTACATTGAAGCCCTAATGAATTTTGGTAAGAGTGATTAAATATTTACTTTTTAATTCAAGCCTGACCCCAAGACATCTCTTGATTTCTGGGTCCACTCCAGTTTCTAGGTTTAACAGTTCACACACTGAAGAGTTCTGTTGATCATTATCTTGTAAATACAGCAATCTTGGGTAGAGTCTGATTTTTATACATACATATTTGTACAAACAGCTCGAATTTCTTAAATAATTGTTGATCTACTGCTTCATTTTATGCCTTAAAATGTAGCCCATTTCTGATGGAAGAATTAATTAGACATTTATCAGTGAATCACATATAAAATATTATTAAAAGGGATCTGAATAGTATCTAGAACTTAGATTTCAACTAATGTATTATAGTAATTAGTGCTTTTTGTTGGTTTGGTTGGTATTTTTGAGTTGGGGTCTTGCTATGTTGCCCAGGCAGATGCCAACTCCAGGCCTCAAACGATCATCAAGCCTCAGCCTCCCAAGTATCTGGGATTACAGGTGTGAGCCACTGCACCTAGCATTTATTATGTGCATTAGCCCTAATATTATACCCTGGGCATCTTTAGAAACAGAATTTGTAATACCATTTATAAGTCTTTACTGCCAAACAATGATTCCTTCAACCTTAACAAAAATCCAGGAAATTTAGATTAATAGCAATGTCATGGCAAAAGCGCAAATGACCGGTGATATTTGAGATAAAAAAAACACGGTAATCGAATATATTCTTTCTGTTTCCAAAGTCAGTCACTTGTTTGTTTAGACAATCTGCGGCCATATGTAAGGGAAAGTAAATATGCTCAAGTACTGGCACTGCATATGTTAGAATTTTTAGGCTTGCTACCATCTCTGATGTCCAGCTGCCTTGCAGTTACTTCCTGCTTCCTCCGTGAAGTAATATGCAAAGCACCAACCACAATGCTTGTTCCACAGTGGACAAGAAATGTACCAACCAAAGACCACTCTGGAGCTTAACAAATTCACGTCGGCATGGCCAGATCTGGTCAGCAGACAGAACTGGTGGACCCAGTGACTCTTCTTCACCACCTTAAATTGAGTAGCTTTACAGTTTATAAGCACTTTTATATCCAAGTGTCTGATTCAACTCTTACATCCATCTTGAGAAGCAGACACTTTTATTATTCACAGTTTTATAATTATAAAGGTTCAAAGAATTGAATAATTTCTCAAAATCATGTAGGCAATAAGTGGTCCAGTAGAGATTTTGAAATGAGATCTCTAATTCCAAAGTCTTTTGTCATAACACCCTGTCCTTTCCCTCCAGGGGATACGTGCACACACTAGTTTAGCTCTTTTTCCTTTTGGCATCACAGCCTGCAGCTCAGATAAATACCGACAAAGCTATTCCCTGTCCTTAGTCGCCGCCCCCACCCCCGACATACCCATCTGCCCCACCACACACCTCACCCTCTTCTGTATCCAATTGCTTCCATTTTTTCTTCTCTCACATCTTGGCCAATTACTTCAGAGAATAGCTTTTTTCTCTATTTTTCCTCACTCCCACTGTTCAATGAATTTAGGTGTCAAAAGCCATGTCTTATCATAAGTGATAAACTTAGAAGTACTGCTAATGTTTCAGTATATCAGCCAAAGAAAAGCCATATACTTTGCAACCAGTCTCAAAAAGTCCCGAAAGTTTCTAAGAATCCCTTTCAGATACTCTGCAATTGTTTCCATCTCTTTTAAACTTCCTGTTATATGTCCATTCTCTTTAAACATCAATCATCCCAAGTCTAGACAAATGATAAAGTATCATTCCGTTTTACTGCCTTTGTATCATGTTTATCACTTGTATCATAATAAAATGTTCTTTACATTTTATTCATCACTGACAATATACTATTTCACTCCGATAAGTAAGGATTGGCTTTTATGGTCTAGTCTGGGAAAGTAATCAGCATGTAAGACTATTTTCTGTAGGACCAAAAAAAAAAAAAAAACGGTGTTTTAAATATCTAATAATTAATTTACAATGAAAAAATTTTAATGCAAACCAGTCTAAATTTCATGAGGCTTTCATTCCAAACCACAGATACTGAGCTCATTTACTACTCTATATACTAATATTTCCAGTCATGGCATAAGACCACACTTAAGAAAATAATCAGTTTATAGAATGGAAATAATAGTCACATGATTAATTGATTGATTCATTATCACTCATTCACTAAACTCAGAAACACATGGGTGAAGTAAGTTGGAGATCATTAAGTCAAACCCCTTCATTTTAGAAATGAAGAAACAAAGGTTCGCTACTGCCCTCTCATGAAACGGGTAACTAGCTCATACTACAAACTTAGCTTCGCACCATTTTGAGTGACTTTTAGCTGAGGACTGACATCCTCTAGTATGCACATTAGCTACAAAGAACACAGTTCTAACTTTGAAGGTGATTGGGCCAAAGGATTATCAGGTATTATATCCCAATTCTGCAACCTTAGGAAAATAAATGTTCATACTAAATAGAAAATGAATTTCTAATAACTGAATTAAACTGTTCATCTAAATAGCCAACTTCAGATTTCTCTCCACACATAATAACTTGGAAAAATATATAGCCCGTGTTTACTATAGTTCTATAGCTACAGTCTCTAAGAAAAGCTATAACTCGCTAACAATTTTCCTGATTTATGTTTGAAAACATACAGGGCATGAAATGATTTCTGCAACCTTACAGTTTCCTCAAGAACACTGGTGAGCAGAAGATATATTCCAAAAATCATGTGGGATTGCTTGCCATATCTACTTCTTTCATAGAAATGTATGATAAGCAATTATACATGCTCCACCAAAAACAGTCATTAGGCTTTTTTCCCCATTAAAGGAAGAAAGAAGAAAAAAGGAAGAAAGGATTTTAAAAAGGCAAGAAACAGGAAAGAAAGAGGAAGGAAGGGAGGGAACTCAGACAAAAGGATCTATTTTCAAATAATGTTTACAATGTAAAAACTGATTGCCTTCTTAAGGAAGAAAGTGCAATAAATATTATTCTAAAGAACAGCTTGCAGATAATGTATGGTTATAAACTAACTCACTATACAAATGTTAGTTATTCTTGTTGTTAGTATTTAACATATATGGAAATTTGCTTACAACCTATAACTGTGTTAATAAAAATAGATATTTGTAAGTATAAATTATATTGGTCATAAAATCAGACTTATTAACCTAATATATCTTAGAATGAGACCAAATTTAAATGGGCCATGCTGTAACACAGATATCTAGAAACACTGTTTATCCTATCCCATTAGTATCTATCAGAATAGGAATGTAAAAGTTCTGCTATACTTCACATAATGTTGGCAACCTGAATTTAAATCTTCACACCAGTAAACAATCACTGTCAGGTATGCATATTTTCCAAGTTGAAAAATAATCTGCTTGTATAGGGAAAGTAAAATGAGCAAATTCATTTGTTGCCATCCTTTTAAATATCCAGGTTATTTATTTTAGCAGATACACCATCAGAAAGTTATATAAGTAAATAAAATACCTTGCCTTGCATTTTACCACAGGGGTTCCAAACACATTCAGCCTTTTCTGTGTGATAACTGATCATTACCTTGTTTAAATGAACAAAGTATCCTTTATAATAGAAATATAAATAAAGGTCTGATTTAAAACTATAAATCATTATTCTTCACAATTATAGGTATTATCAAGCATATTATTATAAATATGCTAGTAAACATCTGTATATGGTATACATGTCCAACAGGAATGATAGATGAGATTTATCCCCAGTACGGTGGTGAGCAAGCTAAGGAGGGTGTGGCCTTTCCCAATGGGCTATGAATCAAGGATGAGTAAAGGAATGGTATCTAATCTCCAAGAAAAAGAGAACTTCCCTCTCTATGTGAGAGACATAAAGAGTTGCGATAATTTCACAGTAATTTGTATCAGGCATATACAATCAAGAATTTTTTCTTTAAGACTTGCAAGAATTTTTCCAGTTCTCTGAACCATAAGGCTTCGTGTATTGACCTTCTATTTCAAAAGGATATATTACTTTCTGCAATCATCTCTTAAAAGACGGCCCCGTGGGCTCTGGCTCTCCTTTCTGGCCAACACCACCAATCGTAATACAAAATTGTATTATAAATTAGGTTCAAAATTATCTAAAGATTGTCCCTGAGAAAGATTTTTTTGGGGGGGTGGGGAGGGGATGGAATATCACTCTGTCACCAGGCTGCATCTTCCACCTCCTGGGGTAAAGGCCATTCTACTGCATGAGCCTTCGTGTGCCTGTAGCTGGGATTACAGGCATGCAACACCACACCCAGCTAATTTTTGTATTTTTAGTAGAGATGGGGTTTCACCATGTTGGCCAGGATGGTCTCAATCTGACCTCGTAAACCGCCGGCCTCACTCTCCCAAAGTGCTGGGATTACAGGTGTGAGCCACCACATCTGGCCAAGAAAGATCTTTAAACTCTCCCATAGTACCACATTCACATCAGCTAGCATGAGAGGTTCAGAACATGAATAACTTATCCATAATTCTTTGCTCTGATTCCTAAAGCCCACTTAGTCTACTGGGATGGCAGTGCCAACCTAAAAACTGAATTGCGAAAGCCGCACAATCTCATAGCTTTAACAAGCTGACAACAAAGTGACAAGAGAAAACTTCTTCCTTTGCACAAGAAGCCCTGGTACATTATTTTGACTTTATAAAGATATTTTAAATGAATATTTAAAAATCACAATATTATGAAACTTGATAATCATTGCTTCAAAATGACAGACTGTACTGTTCATGGAAAAATTTTCCATTGGTTTTCTCATTCCAGTGGTTCAACTGAAAGATTCGTTAACTACTCCCTGGAGAAATGTGAAGATGTGCATTTAAATGGATATATAGTATTTCCAAAAGCACAGTTCCTAGAAGGCAGATACTGTCAAGCTTCTTAGTGAGAATTACTCAAATTTTATTAGGTATATTTCAATACTGTAGCTATCCCCATTTCATAGGACTCAAATTACATCCATGACATTCTTTTTCCTCTGTGCATTCTTCATAATATTGTCTTGAAAAGTTTAAATTAAGGCTGGCTTCTTCACAAAGTCCTTGCAATAACACCATCTCTGATGTGTACAGAAAAAGACCACAGAAGATAGCTTGGCCAGAAATGTTAAATAATTGAAAAGTATAATGACTTAATAGAGTAGTAAGCTTAGTTTACAATGCAGCCAATTTAAAGTCATAAAAACACTGTGTAAAAATTTTATCTTGTGGTTGACCATTACATAGCCTATCTATTATTCAAAAGTATCTCAACAGTGTTTTTCTTCATTAATGTGGCTTTTGGCATTTCCCTCAAAATCTTTCTATTCCCACATTTTTCCAACAATTTTGAAACAAATACAGAATTTCTATATTATATCAAAAAATCCCCTTTACTAGGATAATGAGACCTTCACTGTCTAATTGAAACCAAATTCATAGGGTCAGTCTGCAAGGCATATTTTAACCTTGTTGGGTACGACTTATTTTGCATCTAACAGAATCAAGCACACAAGACATTAAAGAAAAAAAGACTAAAGCTACTTATATTGACACATCTGTAAACAAAAGGAGAACTTCATAAATAACCCCCTTTCCTATGACACACTCATCCAAGGATTTGTCTGCATTAGAAAATGTCATAGGGCATCCGAAAAGTTTTGTCTTGAGTGTTCAGCTAAGGTGCATAGCATGTCTGTGCCAAAGAAAAAAGAGACACTTAGGATCCATTTCAAACATCAGCCCGTTACCTCTGGCAAGCTCCTGCAAAAATTCAAGCTGCAACCTAACGTCCCTGTAAACAAGGTTACCGAGAAAAGCCCCAGATATTCCTCTCAGCAACACTTTCCTCCAAGCCCGTCAGCTGTCTGCGGGGTTAGTTATACCTTATCTTGCTTCACTGCCATTCTCATGCTGATTCACATTCAGAACTCAAAATGAAAGATGAAATATCTTGAAGATCACTTAATATTGAAATACTGTTGCAGCAATAAGTGGTGCTCAGTTGGAGATGGGAACATGGTACTCTCTTGGTAACCTTTTAATTTCTGGAAAAATTGTACAGAATAAATTGAGAAGCACACACGGAAACCTAATCGATTGATCTGCTCTATTTTGTTAAAGCAACACCCATCACAAACTCCCTTGGCTCCCCAGGCAATTCCCGGTAAAGAAGACCAGCAGGTTTCAGTATAGACTATGCACAAGGACTTTGATGCTATTTTGATTTATTAAAGAAAAGGAGCAATCTTCTATCTACAATCATCCCCCCAGTCAATGGACAGTTTTATGTACTGTATGATACCATTCGCAATATACACACGTTTAATTCTACTTAATGCGAGTTTAAAGAGTTATGAGAACTGCTTTAGTAAAAATAACAAAGCCACACATAACAGACAAATGTACGCTTAAAAGATCATCTAGGCCTGCTTCCTTATATACTTAATTCCTTTTCTATATGAAGGAGACAAAACCCCATCAATGTCACTTCATCTCCATCAGTGTTTTCACGTCTCTTCTTCCTGTCAGGCATTCCTCAGATCTGATTTGAGAAACGTTCAAATTTCCCTCTCTTTTCCACAATGACAGAACTGTTTCTCAGGTTGGTTAACTCATTTTGATAACATCAAATCTGCTGGACAGGAGGGAAAAAAAAGAAGAACCCTGCAACCACTCCCCAGTCCCATTTATTTCCCTGTCTTTTTCTCTAAGACATTTCTGACTCTTTTTCTCTCGCCTGCTGCTTTTGAATTTGGGCATTTTCCAAACACACTCCCCTGTTTGGTCTTTGGGCAGCGTGAGAAACAAACGAGAGTTTCTCTTCAAAACTAGACCAAGTCATTCAGTGCTCTGAAACATACTTCACAACATCCGCAGGGCTCTTGATCTTGACTTAAAGTATTAAGCAGGAGTGTTTTGAAAGTAGTAGGAGGTATATGGACCTAACAGCTTCTCTGAACCCCACATGCTGAGAATTTTTTTTTCTTTCTTTTCTTTTCTTTTTTTTTTTTTTTTTTTTTTTGAGAGAGAGAGGGGGTGCTATTTTCAACACTGCCCTCTGGTTTATGTTAGCAAAATCATTTGCTTTCTGTGTGTGTCTGTGTCTTATTGCATGGCCACTGGTCCTGGTACTACAACACAAACACAGCAAACGTGCTTCCCTAACATAAGCAGACCCATGTGGCAATTCACAACATAACCTAGGCAAGCACAATAAATAAACACATACATAATCATTCCACAGCACTGAGGCAGGCAGGGGTTTCTCCAGGCCCTTCCGGACTCTTCCAGAATTGCTCATTAAGATTCTGAAAGGGGGAGGGGGTGTAGCTAGGAAGAGGTTGCAGGAAGGGAAGAGAAGGGGAGGAGGGGAGCTTTGCCCTCTGTGTCTTTCTGTCTCTGAGACTCTCCCATCACCAAACAAGGCGTGCAGGGGTCTATCCTGCAGAGGAGGTACTAACACACTTGAGGGGTAGAATGAGGTAGATGGTTTAAAAGAGTTAAACGATGGTCGGGTGACCTCCGTGCAACTTCAGCGACTCCCTCGGGAAGGTGAAAGGGTTGGGGAGAGAGAAGGGAGGGAAAGCAGCGTAGAGGACAGGAGGGAGACACCTAGGACTACAGCAGCAGCAATCACCAGAAGGATTTTCCAGCCCATGACAGCAGTCCTCAACTCCTGGCACCACCCTCTCCCCAACGACCCCTGCTCCAGATCCCCTCACCCTAACCCCTCCGGTCCCAGCGCCCTAACTCTGCCCTCACTCTTCGCCACTTTACCAAGCACTGAAGTCTCTATCCAGGAAGGGGGATGGGAGGGGTGTTTAAAGAACAAATCTAATTGCAATTAGAATTTATCTGTGTCTCCAGCACACACGCTGACAGTTTTGCAGTCACGGTAAGGCAAGTCTACAAGAGGTGGGCAGTACTTATGGTTGTGTTATTGAGGGAGGGGTTGCTTTTTTTTTTTTTTTTTTTTTTTTCTCGAGACACTCTAAGCAAGTGAAGGGGGAAGGGGGTAGCAATCTAGATTTCAACCAGAACTGCAAATAAAGAATGCCCCAGATGCAAATGTCTGTCTCCAGATGTTGATGATAAGGATTTGGACCAGTTACCTTGGCAGGGTCAGAACTGCAGCAGGTTAATCAGGTGAGTCGTCGGGGATTTTAAAGAAGCCGAAGCCGGTTTCTTTGGCTATGAAAGTCTACGAAACCCCCATGCAGGAACATTGCACATCTTACACACGCCTCCTTTAACTGGGCTCCCGCGACCTCAGCAGGCGAGGGGGTGCTGGCCGGCCCGCCGGTGGCAAGGGCACTGCCCCCGGCTCTGCCCCCGCGGGCGTGGGGCCGGCCTGGCACCCGGGGTCCGCGTCCCGAGCGGCTGTGCACTCACCGAGCCGGGCTGCGAGGGGCAGAGGGGCGCCCGCGGCTAGCCGGAGCGCCAAGGCGCCTCCCTTTTCTCTTGGTAGCGTCGGTCCGCACTCCCTGTGACCCAGGACGTCATGATGCCTGTCTGTTTTCTCAATGATAACTTGGCAGAAGAAGAGAGAGGCTGCCAGGTTCTCCTCGGGTGGTTACGTGGTATGTGCACGATTCTGTTTGCATGCGTTTCTCTCTCTTTTTAAAAATAAATATCTATATTTTTCTAAAAAAAAAAAATTCCCGGCACTGTCATGATTTGATTGCATTATTGCGTTTGCATAATTGACGCCTCTGGGTGTGTATATATGTGTGCATATGCGTGTGATTTTTTTTCCCCTTTAAATCCTGCTGCTCCTGCCGCCGCCGCAGCCGCTGCAAACGGAAAGCAAGCATGCGTTCATCTTTTGTCTTTCATTTTACCTTCAGGGTGACATTCAGTGCCAACTGCTCCCTTTTGACCGTCGCCAATCCCCGCCTGGGCAAAATAAATTTGAAAAACGTGGGGGGAGGGGAAGGAAGAGCCCCCTCAGCCCGAAAGCTGGGGTTTTCATTCCTTCGACTAGGAATCCCAAACCTACCCAACCCACCTCCCAACCCTAAAAAACCATCTTCCCTTCTACCCACCGGGCCCAGGCAGAGAATCGGCACCAAGACAGCGAGGAGCATCCACCCTGGGCCAGACACTCATGTTCGCGGCTCGCACTTGCTGACTCGCATCTCTCAGTTGCATTCCCGGTGTGTAGGCCTCTCACAACTGGAGCTATTTTTGTCTCCCAGGGATGTTCTTTAAAGCCTTTTAAAAATGGTGAGGGGGCAGGGAAAAAAGAGCGAAAGACAAGTAGAGAGAAAGAGACCCAGAGAGAAGCCCAGACCCCTGGTTGAGAGACTCGACTGACAGACACATCCTAAGATGTGGGGGGCTCCGGGCATCTGGCCCACCAGGGGAATCCGGAAGGGCAGAAAGGATAACTAGGTTTTATTTAACTTATTCTACAACAGCACGAAAACTCTGTCTTAATACAAAGACGTTATTGCTAATTATTCACTGTCATTTTTATAATTCTGCTCAGTAGGAGTGGTCTCAGAATACTTAATGTTTATTTCTGCAAATATAAGAATGCATTTTAAGATGGTGTGGCCACATGACAGGTAAAGCACAGATCACTTCTTTTTCTAATATTTACTTTGTGTTATTTGTACATTGTTGGGTACATTTCATGTAGCTTCTCTTAATTGTGTATATTACCTAACGTGGCATATTTCTGATAAATAAATTCTAGCACCAGGTTTGGCAAATGCTTTGCCCTTCTTTATCATTAATTACCCATTTGGAGTAACAGAATGTGTTTAGGAATTTTTATTTTCCCCAAGCCTGTGGTTGACCTTGGTCACCATCACGTATTTGTGGAGTCACTTTCCTACTAATTCCAAATTCCTAAAAGATGACAGCAGAAGCCGAGGTTGCAAAAAATTAAGCACGGAGGAGAGTTTTGAATCTGAAAAGCACAGCTGATTGAGAGAAAAACTTTTGAATTCATCGATGATAATCTGCAGCTGCTTGAAGGTTTAAAAATAGTTTACCTATTTGAGAGGTTGGCTAAGTTTAATGAAAATAGCAAGTAACTTGCTAGATCTTTTCCCTTTAGAGTCACCGTCCAGGAATCATGGGCAAATTCCACAGGGAAGATATTGTAATTATGCAAAGACAAGATGATCTGAATCGGAGAAAGCAGACTAAGAGGGTCTGAGGACTATTGACTGATGGCCAGATCCCAAAACTTGACTGGTGTCTCTCCACCTTGACGATTGGATGCAGCTTCTCTGGCTCTCTTTGCTTATCTGTCCCCTTGGCATGCCAGAAGGATGAATCAGTGCCATCTTGTTGGGTGCTAGGATGTTACCAGAGTCAAAGATGTTTCTAAAGAGAGCCAAGGCCTATTGAGAACCCGAGGAGGGATCACTATAGATGTTATTGGTAACTTTCCAGTAACTATCCAAGAGGAACTTGTTAATATTCAATCTACCAACCTGGTTCTCCCGCTTTTTTACTTATTAACCTTGGAATTGGACCCTTGAAGACTCACCACAAAGCAAAAGAACCATAACAATTTGACTAACTTTAATCCTCTGAAATCCAATTTTGTTTTGTTCTTTTCAGACAAATGCCTTCCATGCTGTTTGTCACCAGTCCACATGCCAGTTCAGGCAGCCAAGTGCTTTCTTTCCCCAGGGGTGAGACGTGTGAGCAACTAGCAAAGAGTAGAGGCAGCATACCCAACAACTCTGAGGTTTGAATAGATCCTTTCTAAGCCCAATTCTCTAAATCCAGCTCTGCTTAGAAACAGCTCTCTGTTGCTTATTCATGTTTAAGCTCCACAGACTACTTTCAAGTCTTTATTTTCTGGCTTCACCCAAAATATAATAGTTAATATTGTTGAAACATGTTCACTTGCACTTCCCTGGCCAAACCAAAGGGCATAAAAATGCTTACTAAGGTAGATGGAATGCAGAGAAGGCAATGCCCTAAACTTTACTCGTGCTTAGCACCTGTAAATCTAATTAAACCTCCTCAACAATAGGGAAAGGGAAGTATCATTATCCCCATTTCTGTATTAAGGAAACTGAGGCACAGAGAAGTTGAGTGATTTGCTCAGTTACACAGCTGGGGTTCAAATTCAAGTGCTCTGAGTTCTCACCATCAAGATCTCTGCTTACCTACCTATCTATTCGACCTTATTTCCAACTGCTGGCATCCCAGAGCCATGGCCAGTCAGGCTGGTCACCCACCACCCATCTCCTATACTCTGTTGGCTCACACTGCAATCCCAGTGTCCAAGTCTTCAGCTCCCTCTTCACCTCCCAAGTCCCTTCTGAACAAAGATGCATTCTTCTTTCTCTTTGGGTTTGCCTAACACAGTGCTAAGTACAACACTGGCTCTCATTAAGTATCTTCTAATGCATTAATTGACATAAAATTGCCTTATGGAGACCTAGAATGCCACTTTTCAATTTGACAGAAATTCAAAGATTTATGTAGCAAAGTTTTTCTTTCAGCTGAAGAAACTGCAAGCTTATTTATCCATTCTTTAGACAGTCCCTAGAAAACAATTTAGGGAAGTTTATGGTGAGGTAGAACTTCATATATGGGGAGCGGGAAGGATGAGCAGGTATAAAATTATAGTACTTGAAAAGCTACTGTAAACTTAATTATTAGGACTTTATAGCTCTTATGAGTCTCCACTACATTTTGATTTTCTGTCAAGAAATTAAAATTTCCAATTAAAAAGATAGGAAAACAATCAAGGACCTGTAGGCAGGAGATGTGTGATCTCATCTTGGAGCTGCTGCTACTGCTCCCTGAGTGACCTCTGGCATATTATTTAACCATTTTGGGCCTCAGTTCCCCAAATGCATGAGGAAGAGTTGAACCAATCTCTGAGGTTCCTCCAGCTCCAAGCTTGCAAGTATGACACAGGATGTGAGAGAGAGCAAGAATACTCAGCCTGGAGTGAGACTGGTTTTTTTGAAGGATGCGAAAAAGATGCTGGAGAGCTCAGGTACAGTTAGCCAAGTTTATATTTCTAATCCCTGTATACAGTTAAAGGTAGCTCAGGAAAAAAAAATCCATACAAAAATGTGTTCAAACCTACGTTTTCTGGTGGCTCATGCCTGTAATTCCAGCACTTTGGGAGGCCAGGACAGGAGGATCGCCTCAACCCAGGATTTTGAGACCAGCCTAGGCAATGTATTGAGACCCCTGTCTCTACAAGGAATAGAAAAAATTATCAGGGTATGATGGCTTGTGCCTATTGTCCCAGCTACTCAGAAGGCTGAGGCAAGAAGATTGCTTGAGCCCCAAAGTCAAGGCTGCAGTAAGCAGTGATCGTGGCACTGCACCACAGCCTAGGTGACAGAGTGAGACCCCTGTCTTAAATAAATTAAAAAAAAACACACACCCACAAAAACCCTACACTTTCCAAAACTGTCCTTTTTTATATGAGATAAAATTATTACACATTTTAATTAATAATAAAATACTATTATTTGAGACAAAGTCTGGCTCTGTAGTCCAGGCTGGAGTACAGTGGCCTGATCATAGCTCACTGTAACCTCAAACTCCTGAGCTCAAGCCATCCTCCACCTCAGACTCTAGAGTAGCTAGGACCACAGGTACATCCCACCATGCCCAGCTATTTTTTAAGATTTTTTTGTAGAGATGAGGCCTCACTATGTTGTCCAGGATAGTCTCAAACTCCTAGACTTAAGCAGTCCTCCTGCTTTCACTTCCAGAGTTGCTGTAATTACAGGCATGAGCCGCTGCACCCAGCCCTCAAGATGAAATGATCAACAACCATGTGTGCCAGTAGCTTACCATATCAACCAAAATGTTATTAGTCATTATTCATGTGTGCCTAAAACTTTCTAACACTCTGAAATTGTTATATAGACCTAATTTGATATGAATGGATCCAACCTATTTTGCCTCGATGTCTTCAACTCATTCACAGCTTGAATTAAATCATGAAGAATGGAAGTCTACAGAGACTTGGGGGCTAGCATCAGAATGGGACTTTTTGCATATTTCCTATCTATAACTAACTGAGTAAACCTGTGTTCTTTTCCTTATTTGTCCTCATGTGTTGAATAATTATAACTCGTTGACTTTCTCACCAGGTTTTTGTTAGGATAAAATGAAGTAGCAGAAATGAGAAGGACTCTACCAATATGACAAAATATTATCATGTCAGATGTGCCTCATCTTACATCTGAGTTGTGTTTCTTAAAAATTTACCAGGTTAGCAGAGAATATGGAGACAAGATTTCAGGTCCCATGGCTGAGAATCTGAGCTGATTTCTATACATCTTGCTAGTTATAGGATTTCGCAAAGTCCTGTAGCTAGTGAAGGGCAGAATTGAGATGGCTATGCAAACAAATTGCCCTCTCCACAGTCCATTCTCAAAAGACATGGTACAACTCTGGGAAAGGAGGCAACCAATCACATCTCACCCAGGACCAAATTCATTGAAACACTTATTTAAAATAGAAATGTATATCAAGTCTCTGACATGAAAACAATTTCATATAGGGTAAATTCCTTAACCAGATTTCATTATAGCTCTGGGATCCATGGATGAATTAAGAAGCTCTTGAAGTTGCAGGCCGTGTGTGTGTGTGTGTGTTGTTCTCAAGAAAAGATCCATAACTTTTGTCACATTCTCAGAAGGGTGCATGACTTCAGAAAGGTTAAAAAACACTGATGTAAGTATTGTTTATTTAAAATTGAACTTAAAAAGAATAACACATTCAGTTAAGCCAAATGTCATGATGGCTACAACATAGATACTGTATAATAATCACCAGTATTCAGAATGATGGCCTTGAGACACAATAAAAGTCTCAATCATCAAAGAAATTTATTTTCAAGGTATTTTATTTAACTGACATGGGAAAGTGTTTAAGCCTTTTAGAAAGATTTGAATATTGAATTAAAATGAGGTTTCTGCTTTTGTTTAAGCCAGCTGGGCAAGTCTCTGTGTGCTAAGCAAGGTAGATTCGTGTGGAAAACTATGCATTGTTTCAGAAAGTACAGTTCAGAGTCCACTGCAGTTGTTGAGGTGGCAAAGAATGGGGGACTGAAGCTGGACCTTGGCAGTGAGGAGGCAGGAGGAACTGGAGGGGTATTTGGCAGGAAACTGAAATCAACAGCCTTTAATGTCTAGCTTGGACAACTGAATTAAAATGGTAGGGTATTAAAGATATAAATAAAGATTTTGGTAAGAAAATAATGAGTTTGGCTTAAAATGTTAAATGTAAAGGCCTCTGGCACAGCCAGATGTCACTGGCCTTGGGAAAGATTTAGAAGAGATTTATGAAGCATGATGGCTTACACCTGTAGTCCCAGCTACTTGGGAGGATAGCTGGGACCCAGGAGTTCTAGGCTACAGTGCACCCTGATCACACCTGTGAATAGCCACTGCATGCCAGCATGGGCAACATTGCAAGACTGTCTCCACATTAAAACACACATATATATATATATATATATATATATATATTTAGATATATATATATTTAGAGAGATATATATATATTTAGATATATATATATTTAGAGACATATATATATATATATTTAGATGGAGTCTTGCTCTGTCGCCAGGCTGGCATGCAGTGGCGCAATCTCGGCTCACTGCAACCTCCGCCTCCTAGGTTCAAGTGATTCTTCCGCCTCAGCCTCCCGAGTAGCTGGGACCACAGGCATGGACTACCACGCCCGGCTAATTTTGTTGTATTTTTAGTAGAGACGGGGTTTCACCATGTTTGCCAGGATGGTCTCAATCTCTTGACCTCGTGATCCACCCGCCTTGGCCTCCCAAAGTGCTGGGATTACAGGCGTGAGCCACCACGCCCAGCCTAAAATATATATTTTTTAAAGAAGACATTGTGGCTATAGAAATTTATTTGGGAATCATCAGTGAATTATCGATGGCTTAAGCTGGTAATGAAAGTGGGGAAAAAATTATAAATATAAATGATCTAGGAGAGTCTGAAATAAAACTGCATTTATTTGAATGAGATCTCATTTTTAAAATATGAAATTATATAACACCCAAGGAAAAAGTTGGTGACTTCAAATATTTATAGACAACTGTATTTGTACCATATATTTCTGGAAAAAAAACTACCCACCTCAGAATTTTATTTTACATTGTGGGCTTTCTGGAGCTGTTGCATTGCAAGACTCAACTTTCCATTAGAGATAGCGCATTCTCTGCCTGGTTTTAGAAGGGAGAAAGAGTTTTCTTTGGCAACCAGGTTCAACTGGAAAAAATTATCAAGATGTCACCTGATGCCACAAGCTACCAACTACGTTCTCAGCTATGCAGACCTGCCAGTTGCTGAACCAGCAGAGGAAACTCGGCGTCACGGAAAGAACACTAAACTTAGAGTCAGACAGTTGAGTGCGAGTCTTATTTTTGCCTCTTACTGCTTTTGCGACCCTGGCCAAGTCATTCAACTTCCCAGAACCTGGATTTCCTCTTTAATAACTGCCCTACCATCCTCCAACAATCCTCAGGTAACGATCTTTAGAGCACTGGTGTTTAGGAGATTGCCAAAGAAGTGGATTGATTGAGCCCGATCACGTTTCAGAAGCCACCTCCTCGATTTACTTCCTCCAGGATGACGCCTCCCACTGTCCTCTCCATGCAGCCCACTGAGGTTGATCTCTCTGTTCTCTCTACTTCCATCCATACACTGGTATCACTGTATTCATGCTTTAATTATTATTAATATGTCTGTCTTTGCTGCCTTTGTGTAAAAGATGTTTTAGTTATCTTTTTATTTCTGGTGCCTAGCATGCAGTAAGTGCTCCATAAATGCTAAATAAATAAACAATGATCAAGGAGAACATTTGCCTGCATCCGTTCCTATTCTCCAAAAATGCTTAAGATGAACTGGAAAATGGAAAAATGCTGGGCTAGCCTTACTGCTAGGCCATAGTCTACATACAGGTGCTCTGCTCAGAAGGCACCTCTCCAGCCTGGGCAACAGGGCAAAATCCCATCTCTACAAAAATTGTAAAAATTAGCTGGGCGTCATGATGTGCACCTGTTGTCCCAGCTACTCAGCAGGCTGAGGTGGGAGGATCAGGATTGTGACTAGGGCTGAAGTTTTGGATTCTTGTCTAGAACATGACAGTTCTTTACACTTTCACAGACCCATAAAGCTCATCCCTTCTCCTTCAACCCATAAATCTGAGGTTGCAGTGAACCATGATCTCACCACTGTACTCCACCCTATCTTAAGACACCCCTCTATTACAAAACTCCAACATTTACTGTTTACTAAGCTACCTTATACGTACAGTTCTAGTAGCGAATAAAGTCTGTCATTTCCCCAAGACTGAACTTCCAGCCAAGATAATAACACTGACTTCATTTGACATTGATATGTAAATGCTCAATACCAGGTTTTGCCAGAAAGCTAAGAAAAGAAAATTACAGCAGGAGAAGCCACTGTAGAGCTGAAGGAGGGCTGCACAACCCAATGTCCTGTTTTCAGACTCCTGAGGAATTTTCCTAAGCTCTCAATCATTGTGTACTTCACATTCTAAATGGAAATTTTATAACATTTAAGGATCAGGGTTATTGGGAAAGTTAAATGAGATCATGTATGTGATGTCATAATCCCTTGTCAAAGTAGGCAGCTGATAAAAGCAGTTCTCCTCCCTCTCTTCCTTCCTTTCTTCCTCATCTGATAGAGCAGCTGGACCATAGCTTTCACACCTGATTTTATTTACTCTTCACAATAAGCCTAAATAGCTGGCATTATTATTATGCCCAATTTATAGATGGGCATAATAAACCCAAAAGGAAAGTTTAGCTTGCTCAGGGACAATGTGGCAGATAGCAGTCTCATACCGAGGTCCAGGATTCCAGAATCGACGCTCTTTTCCTGGAGCATTCTGCCTCAGAAGCCCCAGCGATGATGGGCCAGTAGACGCATACCTACGTTTGAAGGTTGCTTTAGAGCTATGGTCTAGCTGCTCTATCAAATTAGGAGGGAAAACAGGAAGAAAGGGAGGGAGGGAAATATTGTTCATTATGTTTTGAGTTAAACAGGTTCCTTTTCAAATTATTTAATGTGCCTACAAGCATCGTAAGTATCCAAAACTTATTATTTCCAAAGTGACTGAACGGTGAAAGCATTTTTAGCTCAGCGTTTCTCAGGACTAACGTCCCATGGAATGTGATTTGATCGATGTTGCCATGGTTTCCTTCAGCTCCTTCAAGACTTTGTGAAAGTGGCACCCTTTTAGGGAGGACCACCCATGTCACCCGATTCAAAACAGAAACATCACCCTGCCCGCAGCCCAGTCCTCACCTGCTTTCCTGCTTTATTCTTTTTCCCCATAGCCCTTAACACCTTCTAATACACTTTGTAATTTACTTATTTATTTTCTTTACTGTCTCATCTCTGAAGTCTGTAAGCTCTGTGAGGACAGGGCATTCTTCAGTGATTTGTGTTTTCATGGTGCTGGCTCCAAAACTGAGAAAAGTGCCTGGCACAGAGTAGTTATTCAATAAAAATGGGATCTGAATGAATGGCTAACAAGAAATGCATCACAAAAGAAATGCAAAGAAAGCATCTTCTCCACAGTTAGGTGCCCTTTGATAGTATCTTTTCCAGTCCGACTTATCCCTCATGATGAGCTAATGAAGTGGATATTTTCTACCTTATAGAAAAATAAAATGAGAATAACAGCAATTAGACCTGTGAGCAGAGTAAAAAAAAAAATTGGTTAAGAAAAGAGATTGTTAAATTATAATAAATTCTTTTTAATTTTCTGTTATTATTGTGGGATAAAGCACATATAGTGAATATGTCCAACAATATCTATGAAATATACCAAGGACCAACACATCAGCCCAGGAAGCTATTTTCTAGCTTCCAAAACCAGACCAGGCTGAGATATAAAATTTCAGAAGATCTCTGGTGCAAAAATGATCATCGCCTGGATTCGGATTTTCCATCAGTCAAATTATTTTTCTGAGAAGTGTTCCCTAGAGTTCTCACGGCAGCCAGCCTGTAACACAGGGGTTAGCTGGATCCTCTTCACCATT